CCAGTGCCCTGTGCTACAGCCCCTCGCAGCCCGCTATGAGGCTGCCTGTGCCTGCTCAGAACAGCCCCGTGCAGGCTGCGAGTGGCTGCAGCGTGGGCCACGAGGCAGGCTAGGGACCGTTTTTCCCCATGCTCCATACCAGCTTGTTACCTGCCACTGAGCAGGGGGTTGGGGCTGTGCGCTGCCCCCTGCCTGTACCATAGGGCTGGGGGGACACTGGGAGTGAACGGGTGGCAGGAGTACAGGGCTAGGAGCTGGGCCAGCTCCCCCCTCTCCCTGCTGGTGCAGCCCAGCCCAACTGTACAGACCCCCGCAAGCCTTCACCCTGCTCTGGGCCCCACTGGTGCTGGCCCTGGGACACTGGTCCCAAGATGGTGATGAGGAGGCGGGGCACCTGTCAAGGGGCAGGGCAACCCATGCAGCCCTTAACCACTTGCCACAACTTGGTAAGCAGCCCTCTGCCCAAATAACTCTAGAGCAGCGGCAGGCATAGTTCAAGCATGTTTTACGCTTTGAAGCAGAAGCTCAGAATCCAAATCAATCACGCTGCTACTAAACCAGACGAACTGAAGCCCTCTAGTCTAGAATATTTTTAAATACCTCCTAGGACTTCTTTCCGGTCCATTATTCCCAAGGCTCCTGCAGCTTTACTATTCCTTTCAGAGTCAACATCGGTATTCCTGTCAGAGTCTACTAGTTTTTCATCATTCCTAGAGATGAAGAAGTCTCCCTGTTGAAAAATGCAACCCAGGTTAGTAATGCTTCAGATCTTTAACAGTTACTGAAGGGTCATTGCTTTACCTAGTTGTGCTAAAATTGTACTTTTAAATGCAATTTAAAAATTGATACACAATTGTTTTCTCCATCACTACACATACAACGTGTAATTCACTTCGTGTTTGGAGAGAAACTGAGAAGTTAGTGGAATCCAATCACTTTGGCATTAGAAGTTACAGGGAAGATATATATTTCAATATACATTCTTACCACGTCTCCAGAGCCATCCTCAGAAGTCACAATCTCTCCATCTTCATGTGCTGGAATGCTAGTCCTAAGGGTAGTGGCTGTGTGGACAGCAGCTGTAGTGACATCTTCCTTGCTTGCAGGGGTAAAGATGGGATCGTGCTCTTTTTCAGCAAAATCAACCACATCAAGACTATGGATGGCAGGTTCCACGGCATCAGCTGTACTCGAGACTTGCGAGGTAGTTACTTTGACACTGGGACTAGGAGTAGCAGGATTTGTAGTTATCACTTCCTCCCTTGCACCCGCACTGAAGGTGACCAGTTCATATGTCGTTTCATCCTGAACATCTGCTTCTGGCTCATCTGTCACCACATCACTGCTAGAGGATGGAGCTACTACTTCCTCGTCAGCTGGGCTTCCCGTCTCATGGAGATAGTGAACAGTTGTTTGAAGTTTGTCAACATCTATGGATGAATTTGTAGGTCCTACTGGAATAATTGCCTCCACAGAGTGAGACAATGGACCTAAGCAAACATTAGAGTTTTTGTTTAATGGAGGTAGAGACCATTTGCTTCGGTAAGCTACTAGCCTACACATTTCTTTTAAAAAGGGAAAAAGTGTTACTGTAAGGATTGAATTAAACCTAAAAAGCAGTTAGCTTCTTATCTTCATCCCTACTCCACCCAAATCTGAAGTCATTCAGAATATGGCAGCACTCACAAAGTGCTATACT